AATGCCCTGGTGAAAGCCACCTTCTATGTGTGTAAAGCCATGCAAGCTTCACTGTCTGGGAAGGCAGATGGACAGCAGAGCTCCCTGGGTCACTGCGAGAGAGCCAGCAGTCACTTATGGAACAGCCTCAACATGAGCAGCAATGTCTCCAGCACTGTGCTCAACAACGTAAGAGCTATAAGCCCTGGGATAACACATGATCTGTCTTGGTTGTAAGGTTGGTCTTGCTGCAGGTTTATCACTTTCCTGTTGCATCTGCATTCTCTGTTCATCCTGCATCTCATGAGAGTAGAGGGGAAGCTTCTTCCCTTCCCTTGCAAGGGGCATTGATGCTTCTCTGCCTCTGCTATATGTTGGAGCAGAGCTGCGAGTACAATGTTGTTTCCCTGGGCACAGCCTCAGAGACCTGATCTCTTGCTCCTTTCCTGCCAGTAGCTGTCACCACTTCCTGGTGCTTTGACCGCTCTGAATCTGGCCCATGGAAAGCATCCATCTCCATCCTCCAGATGAAGTTGCTGACACCTGTAAAGCAGGACCTCATTAAGTCAAGCCTGTCCTGTTTCAGGCAGCACTCATGAGTGTTTGAACCCTCCTCTGCAAAAGTGAGACTGTACCATGCTATTTCTGAGTTTGTGTGGAGCTTGTTTCTCTCCTTTCCAGGGTTACCTAAAGCTGGAGCTTCCCTTCCTGGCATATGGGACATAGTTCCTGGTCCCTTCTGTCACTCCTGGGTGGCGGCTGTAGTGCATTGTAGTTGCATTGCATGTTGTGGCAGTAACTGTGCAATGTTTCTGCAGTGCAGTACAGAGGCACACTCTACGCTACAGCTGCACGGGTAGAGTCCCCTGAGAGCAACTAGGACAGTGAGCAATGCTAGAGGGCAGCAGCAGATGGGGAATAAGGATTTGGGCAGCCACTCTGAGCTGTGTCAAGACACTGCCTTTTTTGTTGTTTTGGGATTTTTGTTGCTTCCCCTCCCCTTCTTTGGGTAGCAAGGCTATCTTTGCTGTTTCCCACTTGTTCGGGCAGGAAAGCCTTTGCAGAAGGCTGGGATGTTGCTGGTGCAATATCCCCTTGGCACGTCTTGTCTGGGTTGCGACCAGCATTGTGAAGAGGAGAGCCGCTCCCGGGGCACAGCCTGGCACTTGTTCCTTAGGCTGGACCTCTTGGTGCCGAATCCCAGAGATGCTGCTTGGGCAAAAGGCCAAAGTTCTGCTCCTTTGGTGCATCGCAGTGGGGGCGGTTTGGTGGGAGGGCCAGGAACTTCCCGCCAGGTGGGCAGGAGGTGCTGTGGCCACCTTGCCACGGGTTGTGTCGGTAGCTGTGTAGCAAATGGCCTGTTACTCGCCTCGTGAGTTGTGTTAATAAAGCATATGTGCCTGGGCCCCCTGGCTCTTGCAGATGATCCAGCTGCTGGCCTGTGACTTGCTGCTCTCTCTCCGCACCAGCCTGTGGCAGAAGCAGGCGAACGCCAGCCAGGCCCTGGGTGAGACCTACCACGCCTCTGCCTCCGAGCTGACGGGCTTCCAGCGCGAGCTCGGCAGCCTGCGCTAGCTGGCTCAGGCCTGCCTATCGCAAGGTGACGGCTTGCCTCCCCTACCTGTTTCACCCTCAGCTTAGCTGGAAACCTTCCCGGGGTAGCTGCAGCCCTTGGAAATGTAGGGTGTGCGTGGGCTTGAGCGAGCACCTGAGGTGGAGTGGTCTGCCACCAGCAGACCTCCATATTATCTCTTGGTGGGTGAATAAGGGGGCTCCTGTGGGAGCCTGGTGCATGTGGGGAGGTGTTTGCCATATGGCACAGCTGGCAAATACCATGGCATCCTATTCCTTAACGTGGCTTCAGACTGGATCAGTCCCTCCGAGGAGTGTGGCTTCCTCAGCCATGTTTGCTCTGCAGGCAGCTGGGGGCAGGGGCGTCAGACGCCTTCTGCACCTGTAGAGCACCAGGTGCTTCTCTGGGGATTTCTGACCCTGTTTAGTCCATCTAGTTTTAAGCCTCTCTAGAAGTGTAGTCTAATGCTTGGACAATACTTGTCCTGATGTTGTCCAAACTCTGGATTTCAAAATTTGATGCTTCTACCAGAGTGCTGCACTAGCAGCCCAGGGATGAGATGCCCACATAGGCCATAGTGCCAGGTTTTGCTTTCCCATTTTCCACTATATTCCCTGCTCTTGTTCATTCTCCTTTCCAGGCCACTCACAGTTACATGTCAAAAGCTTTCTCTGCTCCCCGCTCCCCTCTCCCATCCTCACAGTTGCTCTGACCTGCAAATTCCCCAGGTGGGAAGATGAGGGAGGAGCATGGAAGTGGGTCTCTGTTGTTGTTAAGGTGTCAGTGTTCCGCTCTTGAAATGCAGTGGCTGAGGGATGACATGAATTCAGCCACAGCATCACCCTCCTCTTGCCCCCCTCATCCTGCCTTTCCCTCCCAGGTCTTCCTCCACGAGGCCACCGTGCGTCTGATGGCTGGTGCCAGCCCTACCCGCACCCACCAGCTGCTGGAGCACAGCTTGAGACGACGAACGCCCCAGAGCAGCAAGCAAGGTCAGCTCCAGGGCCTGTGCAGTGATCCACTGTCTATGGGGCTGGGAGAGGGCAGCACTCAGGCGAGGTTTGGAGGGTCATAGCTGCAACTTGCAGCGTCTTCCCAGTGTCCGAGGCTCAGGATAATGAACTGCGAGCATGTGGCTCATGGCGATGCTTCTGCCACACTCTTTGCAAGCTGGCTGTAGTGTGATTTGCCAGCCCTGGCTTGGACGTGTCGACGATGCAGCCACGTGTGGACAGAACTTGGTGTGCTGGAGTTCAGGGTGGTCAGTGCAGAGGTAGAAGCCAGGAATCCTAAAGGAAGAGCCAAGAGATGTGGTGCTGGTTATCAAATCCCATGGGGCTTTAAGGAAATGGGCAGGTGTGCTGGGATGAGCCCCAGGAAGCGAAGTAAAAGGGACTGTCTCTGCAGAGGACAGGATTGCCAGTCCCTGCCTGACTCCAGCTCAAACTGTTCTCCTCTGGAAGCATAAAGGAGCTTTTTAGGGGTCTGCAGTCCTCCCCTACTCTTAGCACAGCTGGGGAATGCCAGCCTGTGCTCACTGGTGCCAATTGGGTGCATGCATGATGGGGTTTTGTCACACAGGTGGTAGCTTCGTCATGAGCTTTCTCTCTCCTCTTTATGTGCAGGTGAACTGGACATACTGCCGGGCCAGAGGGAGCGAGCCACAGGGCCGGGGGGGAGGGAGCCCCAGCCATCCTGTGGGCCTGCCGCCATCTCCCCCTCTCCTTTCTGTCCTCCCCGGGCCAGCGCGCAGTTCTGCTGGCCGAGGCTGCCCGCACCCTGGAGAAGGTGGGGGACAAGCGCTCCTGCAACGACTGCCAGCAGATGATTGTCAAGCTGAGTGGAGGCACAGCCATCGCTGCCTCCTAACACTGGTGTGGGGCCCCCCTGTGGAGAAAGAGCCTGATCAACTTTCAGCTTGGACTGCCCTTCTGGAGCTTAAAAAAAAAACACGAAAAACCAAGTGCTAGGTTAGGGCTGTGCTGATGGGATTGTGATGGGGTAGGAGGGGGAGGGAGGGTTTTGGGTTTTGTTTTGTGGTTGTTTTTTTGTTTGTTTTTTTTACCTTGCCCTGGATTTAGCTTTATTTAGCCCCCTTGCTTTTGTTCTCAGGCACGGCAGCAGGCATCTGTTGTCCTGTGGTTTTTGCGACCATGCCTGGGACTGTGGGAAGCGCTGCCCTGACCTGGAGTCTCCATCCCACATAGAGGTGCTTGGGAAGTTTAGAGAAGCGGCACATCCCGTGTCTGTACTCAGGGGCATCTTGTTCCCTTCCCAAGCACCTCTGCAGACAAAACCTTGGGGGAGGGCAGATCATCTGCTCAAGCCTTGCACCATGAGGCTACTGGGGTCAGGGGCTGTTCCTGAAAGAGAGGGGAGGAAGGCACCAACTTTCCCTGAAGCTCTCCAAGACCCAACTTACAGAGGTGCTCTGGGAGTATCACTTGGGGCCAGTACTGCTCGGCAAATTTCTCTACCATTTTTATACTGTTTTTTTTATAGGAGTGTTTGTGGCTTTACGAAAATGTAGGGAACGATGCAGCAGATTTCCCTTCCTCTCCACTTCCCTATATCTTCTTCCTGTGATAGCTGCCTCTGGTTTTTGGCAGGGGGCTGGGTTTGTGGTAGGCTCATAGAAGGCTTGGGCATCCCTGGCCATCTGGTGCTGGGTGGCAGCAGAGGTGGACGTGGAGCGCCCTGCACTTGACGTGAAAGGTGGATACTACTCTGGTGCCTTTTGATGCAGAAACAATTTTTAGAAATGTTTTTTTATTTTACTCATCATCCAGTCCCAGAACTCGACTTTGGGTATTTCTCCTTCCATTCTCCAACTGCTCAACAGCTCCCAAACTCTTGTAGGGACTGGGAGGCACCGGTTCAGGGTGTGAGTCTCCCAGCTGTGTTACCATCGCTATTCAGAACAATTGGACTTGCTGGTGTTTAATCACCTGTGACTTTTCCAAGAGGGGGAGACAGAGTGGGGACAGGGAGGGAACAGTTTGCCCTCTTTCTTTCAGCTTTTCCTGTTGCATCTCTCCAAAGAAGGGCAAAGCAGTTGCCCTCTCACGTGTGCAAATGTGGAAACCAGCCTTTGGCAGGCAGACCTTGCTGTTACTCCCTGTGTGGAGCCAGTGTGTGCTCTGTGTCGGCAGCTAGAAGCACTTGGATAGGGACAGCAGCTCAATCCTATCTTGTCCCAGTCATGGCCATACAGCCTGACAGTTCCTGCATCATCAGAACTCAGGCTGGTTTTCCAGAAACTTCTACATCTATCCAGCTCCTGCAGAGAGGTGGAAGAGCTTGAGCTCCTTCCAAAATGAGGGGGAAAAAAGAGGGTTTCTTGTTTCACTTTGCATGGGGTCTTTTGGCAGCTGGGAGGATGGGTATTCCACATGCTGCAGAAATTGAACACAAGTAGTGCTAGTCCTGGAGTTGCCCAACTTCAGCAAGATGGAAATTGTGGCTGGGAGAAACCTGGCTGCCAGCAAAGCCTGTTCCCAGTGACCCTAGGCCATAGCTGCGAACAAAAGCATTGGGGACCAGAAGATGCTTCCCTTCCCCCCCTGCTTTATCTGGGGAGTAGCTGGTGGCACCCAGCTGCAACGGCTGGCAGCCTGTGCTGCTCGCCCCACTGGCAGGTGGGGTTTGTCCCTTTGCTTCCCAGTGTCAGCAGTTGGAGGGAGGAGAAGCTGCTCTTGCACGTCTTCAGTCAGTGTAGAGGATGTTCTGGTGGCAGCCCCTAAGGCTTTGAACAGGTGTCCTAAGCGTGCGGAACAGCTCCTGGGTTTGTGTGGGTTTTGATTGCCCATCCTAAGTTTCCTAGCTTGTTTGGTGGTCCTGTTTTGGGGGGTAGATCACATCCTTTTACTCGGTTAATTACTTCTCTTAAGCATCTCTTGCACTGTCTTCCTGGTCATGCGGTTTTCCTTACCTGTGGCAACCTCAGAGTTACTTCACATTTCCCCACATCTGCATCCAACACATGGGAAGTTTTGTGCTTTAGTAAAGGAGGAATCAAGGCTTGCAAAACAGAGATGCTGAGCTTTGCTTCATCACTAACGGTGGATCGAGTCCTGGGGGATGGGCTTGGGGTGGGAGGCTGCTAAGCCAAAACCCTGGTAGCTCATGGCACGATCCACACAGGGCCTTCGCACTACTGGTACTTCTCTCCCCTCCAGGGCAAGGGATCTTTGCCCTGTTTTTTCTATACTGTGCATAAATTTGCTGCCCATCTGTACCTACAACCTTTTTTATATATGTGTGTGTGTACATACTGTAACTTTTTGTCTGTTTGCTGGTGGGAGGAAGTTGTTTCACAGACTATGTGAAGGAAGCCTATTTATCCACATGGAGTTTGGAGTAGAGGTGCTTTGTGATACCAGGTGCAACTGGTGGTGGGGAGGTTCCTGAGGGAACATATCTGCTGTCTGAAAACCCTGTTCTAGGGCTCCTGAGCATCTGTTACCGAATAAAGGCAAAAAATTACCACCACCTCCTGCCTGCCCTCTTCCTCTTCCAGCCCTTGACATCCCACCCACCAGCTGTTCTTAAGCATAGGTGAGTCTCAAACATCCTTTGGAGACATGTAACCATGCCAGCGCCTCGGGAAGCCGTCAGTCCTTTGCCCAGAAACCTGGAAAGCGGAGGTGGTAGAGCTTGCAGTGGAAGATGATCCCTTGGTGGTTCAGGTGTGCTGTGCCTCTGCTCCTTGGAAGCAACCCAAGAGGCTGATGGCTTGGGCAGAGCCAAGCAAGGTAGAGCTGGGCCAGAAGCCTGCAATTTTAGGAGCATCTACATGGGAGGAGAGCTTTTACCTGACCTTGCTTGCAACAATGTCCTTTCGCTCCATCTCTTTTATTTTCTCTATTCCCCCTGGTAAAAATCTGTCAGAACCATTAAACTTCAGAGAGAGGAAAGCTGTTTGGTTTTTGCGTAGCTACTTGAGGCTTTTGCAGTTGGCCCGCGTAGCTGTATTCCCACCTTGTTTCCCAGAGGGAGAGGG